TGAGCCTAGTGTGAGCCTGTCATGGATGGCGGGGACAGCCTTGGTGTTTCGCTTTGGGCTGTTGTAGCCAATTCCGACCCTGCCAAGGAGATCTCTAGCCTGCGGGTCCTCTGTGAGGATGCTGAGGATGCAAGACGCCACAGGGCTCTTTTGGCAGGCGGAGTTAGCAAGAGCATGATGTGGGAGTCGTAGAAGAAGTCATGCTTTTGGAACATGTAGATTATGAATAAAATGCGCCTTGGCCATTCTGGTTGATGCAGAGAGCGGAGGACTCGTTGTCACTTCTCCTGCTGTTCTGCTACGTGCTTGGAAAGGTGTGCTGGGAGAAGCGGCAGCGTTGCACGTGCGGCTGCTGCAGTTCCGGGAGGCGCACGCCAAGCTGGCAGAATGTGCCTTGACGTCATTTGGCCGAACGCGCGGAGGCCCGTTCAGGTTGGATGTATGTTGATGTGCTGGCTGCTGTGGTTCCATTCTGCAGCTGTGCAGAATGGCTCCTGGAACAGAGCCCGAAGTAGCCCGAAGTAGCATAAAGGCGGGCGCTTCAGTTTCATTCATTGCGATTTGAGGTCTCCAACTCTCACCAGCGTCGCACACCGCCAAGTCTCTGGCTCGAGACTGCGCCGTTGCCTTGGGCAGCCGTTCAGATGAGGTGTTGCGTCTTTGGGCTGCACCTGCAGAAGCCTACATCTCTTGTATGCTTGTGGGCTTATTTACCTCTCTACAGCTTCCTGGCACCTCTAAAGCCACGACGTGTGTGTGCTGTATGGTTACCCCAACCCTCACAGCAGCGCTCTCCCCAAGAACTCTCCCTAACTCTCATAGCAGTACCCTCCCCCAATTCTCATACTGTAACGGCACTTTCCTAACTCTCTTGGCAGCACCCTCCCAACTCTCATAGCCTGGCACCGTGGTTAAACATGGCATACCAGCCGTTTGGTCAGTGCCGGGATCTGACGAGGAATGGGTCCTCGCATTTCGTGGAAAGAGGTGACATCGGACCCTTGGAATGAAGCATTCTTAATCAGTGCTCTCGGCAAATCGTTTTTTTGATCCGGGTTCGGTGATGTGTAGGATACTGCTTGGGTACTTGGTCAGGTGTCAGCAGATCTCAAAGAGAGGCTGCAGAGCGCAGAGTACACGCAAGCAAACCTTCCACAGGACGGACAATGACGCATGTTCCTCGACGTTCTTCGGGTTTTAGGAGTTCCTGTGAGTGTTGTGATGAGACCGGTACCTGTCGAGGCAGCTGGACTGCCGTCAATGCTGTACTTCGTCTCCAATAAGGGTGAATCGCTAGCGAACGCCCTGCAGGCCCCGGGAAGAGCACGAAACCCGTACTGCAAACACGCGCAGTTTCTTGCAGGCACGTGTGCGCATTGGAGATGCATCGCAAGAGCTCGTGGATCTCGTCTGCCTTTTTCTCCTTCGCCGACTATTGCCGGCACAGAGAGTGATCGACCTGCTTGGAAAAGACGTCACGCATGCCTTCCTCCGGCTGCAGGCTTTTTGCTGCATCGCGGGCCCCAACTCCCGCATCTGTTCGGCTGCGGAGGCGGAAGATATCCTTTCAAAAAGAATGGACACGCCAGATTCAGCAGACGTCGATATTTGGCTTTTCTCCACTATTGCACTCTGGCCGCTTGAGGAGGATTTGCTGATTGCAACCGACTTCGGTGATACGCAGCACTCTGCTGATTTCGAGCCAGTGATGTATCTGTCCCTGGACTCCTATGCTTTAGTTGCAGCAGCTCCGCGTGAACCTGCACAAAGAGCCCTGGACATTTGCTGTGGTAGTGGTGTTCAAGGCATCGTGGCATTGAGGACGTACGCAGAGCAGGCAACCTTTCTGGACGTAAATCCCAGATGCTTGGCTTTTACCCGGTTCAACACCGCCTTGAATGGCTATTACGAGCGGTCATCATTCGTCCAGGGGTCCATCGAGGACGTGGCGCTGGCTGACTTGGGAGGGCCCTTTCAGGCGCTGGGCTCTATAGAGCACACTTAATCATTGCTTCATTATTGCATGACGTTTTGCTATGGTTGTGCCACTGTTGTGTCGGCATGCAGTGCCACTTGGCCACAATTGTAGGGAGTACGGCTGCACATGGTCAGCACGTGCCATGTGCACTGCAGGCCATTTTGGCCAACCCGCCTTTCGTGCCGAACCCGGAGTCCACTGCGGCAGCAGCAGGAGTGAAAGGGCCGGCATTGCATTCGGATGCGTAATCTCTCAGTACATTGAAGTTCTTTTCCTTTGTGTCCGTCCTTTGAAAGAGAACTTTCACACAGACAGAGAAAGAAAGAGAGAGAGAGAGAGCCCTGCAGCTCCGCTCTACTCGGGAGCCGGGTCCGACGGCGAGGCCCCACTGCCACAGATGTGTGTCCAAATGTCCCAGCAGTGTCCCAACATCCGCTGCGCCCTGTGAGTCAAGGCCATGAGTCAACATATTGCCAACATTAGCAGGAACATCTATAATCGGTCAAGCGTACTTGAGCAGAGCTTACCATGCCCTTGGCGGAAGCAAGGGTGCCCCGAGGCTGTACACTGTGCCATCTTTGCCAAAGCCGTGCACCTCTTGGACGCTGGAGGCAGGGGGGCAAAAGCAATCACACAAAAGTAATCACAGAGCTGGACACTCGCCAGTGTCTGCCGCACAGGCTATTTGAGCACTGTCGCAGAGGTTCCCAATCCAGAGAGCCTGGGCGCAAGATGCTCCAAGAATCCCCTTTGTCTCTCTGACTCTTGGTGAGTTTATGATCATCCAAGGAGCTTGGCCCCACGTGTGAAGCATTGGATTGATCAGCAGGCAGGGTTTTTAACGATGAGCAAAATGCACTTGTTTTTTGACGGCAGTCCGGGACTTTGTTGTATGTGTATGTGTATGTGTATGTGTATGTGTATGTGTACGTGTACGTGTCTGTGTCTGTGTCTGTGTCTGTGTCTGTATGTATGTATGTGTGTGTGTGTGTGTGTGTGTGTATGTGTGTGTGTGTGTGTGTGTGTGTGTGTGTGGGTGGGTGTGTGGGTGTGTGGGTGTGGGTGTGGGTGTGGGTGTGGGTGTGGGTGTGGGTGTGGGTGTGGTTGTGTGGGTGGGTGGGTGGGTGGGTGGGGGTGGGGGTGGGTGTGTGGGTGTGGGTGTGTGGTGTGTGGGTGTGTGGGTGTGTGGGTGTGTGGGTGTGCGGGTGTGCGTGTGCGTGTGCGTGTGCGTGTGCGTGTGCGTGTGCGTGTGCGTGTGCGTGTGTGCGTGTGCGTGTGCGTGTGCGTGTGCGTGTGCGTGTGCGTGTGCGTGTGCGTGTGCGTGTGCGTGTGTGTCAGTCTGTCTGTGTCTGTGTCTGTTTCTGTGTCTGCGTCTGTGTCTGTGTCTGTGTCTGTGTCTGTGTGTATGCGTGGCTGGCGACGGCACTTCGTCTCGATAAAGCCCCCCTGATGAAGGCTGAAGACTCCCCGCCGCCGAACATGATGGCTACATGACTTGAAGAAGCAACAAAACACGAAGCTGTCTCGAACAGTGCTGCCAGTGCATTTGCCTTCAAGGTACAGATATTCACTGGCAAGCCGATTCCTGCGGAGGAGTACTGGAAAAGTGCCACGCAGGCACCAGACAAGGGTTTGGGTGAGCCAAGTTGTGTTCCATATTTAACCATTTCTACTGCAGGCGGCGGCCCTTGGTTCATCACTTCTGAACAAGCTTAAACTTTATCGAGCCCCTGTAACTGGTCTGTGACATGATCACTGTATATCACTGCCAAGCAGCTACGGAGTTCGTGGACCTTTGAGGCCTTCCTTTGCATACCCACGTGGCCCCACAAGTACATTCGGCAGACACTAACACAGACTAACATATTATACAGTGGTCATGCCCGGTCATGCCCTCCATTGCCTCGCCTTGCAATCTGGGCCAGGAACGCTCGGAGCTCGAGCGTCGCAGCTATGCCGAGGGGCTGCGGGCGGTCGGGGTGGATTGCATGGCTGAGGCTTTTGTTTTTTGATCTTTCTTTGTTTTTCAATGCAGATCAGATGCACGCCGGTAGTGGCGTGTATTGGCTGAGCAGGCAAGACAACTGAACGGAAGCAACTGCTGAACTGGCCACAAAACATGGCTGTCCGAGCATCTGAGACAAAGCACTGTCCACTGGCCAGGGCAACGCCCAAGTTTTGGCCAGTTTTGGCTTCGAAAGAGACATTCGCGGCGTTTGCAGTGCAGAACGGTAGGTCGCGAACCGCAGCAGGTGTCACGCACGAAGAACGGCCACCTCCAAAACCTACTTGACCCACTCCATCCATGTGCCGCCTTACGCTCTGCTTCGGCAGGAATTTGACTGACACCCGCATGCAGCATAATTACGTTGCAGTCACTGCCATCATATTGGCACCGGTAGTTGCTGCTTTCCTGGCTTCTGCATCCCTATGTCATGCGCAGGCGCTGGTGCTTGCGCAGCGTGCTGGAAATGGGAACAGCGCCACTTGTCCTTGCTGCACAAAACCTTTTTCACGTCTGAACGTCCTCGATCTGAGGATTTGTTCCCTGATGACTTGGGGACTGTGTTGATTGGCGATGTTGTGCAGCGTGACCAACTTTGGCTTGATGACGAGTACCTCCGCACTCGTGTTGCACTCTGCCTTGCGACCAGCTGACGTGCAGCTGACCCTGCGACACACCAGAATCTGGCAAGGCGGACTGCGTGAAGAATCGAAGAGGAACATGCTGCGCGACGCGGGGCACACCGACATCGACACCCCAAGTTCATCAAGGAGCCCTTCTGACCAGCAACGATGCTGCGCGTTGGAGGCTCTCAGCGAACGAGGTTGGAAGGCGTGGTTGCGAGTGATTGGCGACCCCCGTAGCCGCAGCTGACAGCATTTGCTGCGGTGTGGCGTAATGCACAGTGCAGTGCACAAATTTCAGTCTGCAGGCCTGCAGCAACCGTGAATACCTGCAATCATTGATTGCAGTGGCCATGGGTCAAGCATTGTCAAGCAGCCAAGCATCTACATTCAGGTCTTGGGCCTTCGCGAAGATGGAACAGAAGTTTGATGAACTCATGGTTGGTTCCTGAGCTTTGTCTTGACCGCCCTTTGACGGCGCTTTGAACAAAGTAAGCTCACACTTCCATCGCTTCCAAGGCTGCAGTGGCCCAGGAAGCCTGTGTCCCCAGCTGACTCGCCACACCTCTTTTTGTCCTGATTGGGGCAATTTGGATCAGTTTGGCAATTGTAGTATGGAGGCAGCAGCGGACAGAGAGAGAGAGAGTATGGAGGCAGCCATACTCCATCCATGCACTAGCTTCGGGCCAAGATAATTTGGCTTGCGAAAATCTTGTGCGGACTCATGTTGTGATGCGTGGCTCAAGGCTTGGATGCACATTGACACTTCATACCTCATCGATTTTCGACGTACCAGGATGCGAGTTTGACATGCATGCCGGCCACATGCCCGGCCCCAATCTCCATCTCGTCTTTGAAACGGTAAAGTTCCCAGACACGGTCCAACAACACACACACACATCCAGTCCAGCAGCATCTAGCTTTGTGTACTTGGTTCAGGTTTCTAAGCCCAGCCTTGATGCCACAGTCCTCGCAGAGCAGCCCATGGGACACCACCGGCCTCCGAACTCATCGTGATGGCTAACAGGATCCTCGGCAGCAACAGCAAGCACGCGCACGCCCGCAGATGGCACACTTGGCCTTGGGGAGACAGGATGCCGAGCGGAAACTGCGCACTGAGTCCGGGTGAATGTTAAAGCCGGAGGTCGCGTTGGAGCGACCTTGAGGAGCTGCAGGGCAAGGTGGAGGACCTTTTTATTTTTTTTGGGGTGGGGCAGGCTGCGGGCAGGTGGGGGGGCCTGCAGAGTCATGTTGCGGCGGCATTGTCTTTAGGTGGAGAGCAGCTTCAATGTGGCCAGAGACAATAAAAAGGCAGCAGGACATTAAAAAAAAGCATCACGTACATTTTTTGCAGCTGTGGAGGAAGAGCCCCCTCTGAGCTCCTTGCCTGTGCCGGGCTTAGCGTCTTCGCACTCGGCTTTCGAGGGTAGTCAGGTTGTGGACATTTGAGGACCAACTCTCAGAACTCTGCTGTTTCAGGTACTCACGGCAAAGCTGCTGGTCGAAGTCCTTGTAGACTCAGCTCATGAGACCACGTTTCAGACCAACGTCGATGCAGGGTTCTCAGAAGCAAATTTGTTTTCACTGAGGGACCGTCGTTTCATTTTCAGGAGTTGTGTCAGGCGCAAAGTGTGGCACAACTTGACAGATGTGAGCACTGCTACAGAACCTGCTTCTGCAGCCATTTGGCAGCGAACGCCGAACTGCCTGTCTCCTCAAGGGAGACAGGGCGCAACAAGTTGTAAGAGGCTGCTTTGAAGCCAAAGAGCTTTCCTCCATGCCAAAACCAAAGGTTTGGGCCGAGGACATAGACGAGATCCTTCGCGTTATCTCTGAAGAGCAAGCGCAGCTGCTGCAGCTTGCAGAGGAGCAGCATGCATCGTTCGCGACATCGGTGCAATTGGCCTTCAATCGGATGGAGCGCCTGGATCTCCTCACCCGAGGCAGTTTCGGAAGACGAGGTGCATTGTGCGCTGCAAATCCGTGTGACATCTGCATCGGAGACGGGAATGAAGATGACACGCAGGAGGTGTTCGAAGAGGTGCCAGACCAGACAGATATGTTGACGGATGAGAGCTACGACCGCAGCGCTGCCCCAGGGAAGATCGAGTCCGTCCACAGTGTTACGTCTCGGACAAAGTCCAAGAAGTCGGGCCACTCCTCCGGTAAGCCCACAGCAGAGGATCTCCTGGGCCTAGACAGCTTCATCGATCGGAGCAAGGCCTGGACGGATCTGCTTGCGGGTATGCTGGTGCTTATCAACTCCTTCGTCATGCTGGCGGCTGGGTCTGAAAGATTGTCGGGCCTTGTCGGGGACAGATGGGCAGGTTGTGATCCTATCCCGGGCTCCTTAAACTGATTAAAATCAAGTTTATGGAACCTCTCCAAGGTCGAGTTGGAGGTGGAAGGGCGAGCTGTGGGAGCGTTGATAGGCCGGCAGCGTGGGGGGATCGCAGGGCCTCCTGCAGAGTTGCTGCGCATTGCTGCGCGTCATGCATCCCAAGCCGCAGGTATGGGGGACGGCCCGATCTTGAACGAAGTGTCTCCACTCTTCCGGACCTTGGCGACTTGCCGCTGTAAAAATCAGATGCAAGAAGCATATACTCCAATTTAATATGCTCCAAAGCACTCCAAGCAAACCAACAATGATCGAACATCAGATGTAACCCAATATGAACGATAACAAATATGTATTCATATATATATATATGTGTGTGTATATACACACATTTATATATATATATATATACATATGTATATTTATGTATATGTGCCTTCGTGCATGGCTCGCTTCTAGCATCCCATGCCTGCCTTTAGTCCTTTAGGCCGTCGCCGAGAGATAGTCTAAGGATGCCATTTTCGTCTTCGTGTTTCTGGCAGAGTTGGTGTTTCGAATCTGCATGGAGAGGAGGCACTTTGTCATGGATGTGGCCAATTGGTTCGACACCTTGTTGGTGATTGCGGGCTTAGTGGACATGTTCGTGATTTTACCGATGACCGAAGGTGCCGAAGGGCAGAACATTGTAATGCTGCGGATGGTCAGGGTTTTGAAGTGCGTTCGTGCTATCCGCTTGGTCCGAACCTTCCGCTTCTTTCGTGGATTGCGGCTGCTCGTGAAGGCCTGCTACTGCTTTCTGCCATCTCTTGGCTGGAGTATGGTGTTGCTTTTAGTATTCATGTGGATGGGCACACTGGTATTGGGCAACTTGCTTCAAGACTTCATCACAGACACGAACAACAATTTTGACGATAGAGTGTGGATCTGGAATCGCTATGGGACCGCTTACCGGGCCATGTACACGCTCTATGAGACGCTGAGCCTGAAATTAGTTTGAAGCTGCGCCCTCCTCTCGGCTGCCGTGTGTTGGTGCGAGTCCATGCATGGTTTGGTTCTTGGAGGCAGGGCAGGATGAGGGGCTTGATGGTCCGTGACTTGGCCCCGGCTTTTGCAAACTCATGAGTTCAGATGCTAAACCTGCAGCAAGAGAACGCGATTTTGCACCGCCAGCCAGAAATGCAGCAAACATCGCCCGCGCCCGCAGAAAACCAAAGAACATGCTCGGTGCCCACGGCAATGGAGCAACAAGCGTCCCGCGCCAACACTTCTTGATCCCTAGACAAAGCGACTTCCGCCAGCCACCAGTGAGTATCGGCTGATGACAGCCATCTGGCCACATGGGCAAACGTGCCACCCCCCCCCCCCCCCCCCCCTCTCATGGAGGCGTTGAGATGGAAGGCTGCTACCGAGACCCGCCTCCTAGAGTTGTTGCAGTCCACCTCATCAAGCTCTCACCGGTTCGGGACTTACATGCTCCAAGGTAACGCTTGGTCTCCTCTTGCAAGGTGTTTGGTTTTGGCCACGGATTGTCTTGGGGTGTTCAGCTTTGTTCTTCTTCTGCTCAGTTGCAGAGGGCGTTTGTCAGGGCCATCCGGGGGCCTTAGCCTCTGGGCCGCCTCTTCGCAAGGTTTTTTGTTGCTCTGTCTGGCCGAGCCCAATGGCAGGGTTGACGAGAGCACCATCACGCCCACGCGTGTCTAGGTGCAAGGATATTTTGGCAAAATAATTTTGCTCAAACAGTTTTAGCATCAGTCCAATCCAAGCCGAAGAAATTGCGAGCCGGACCCCGCCACCCCGCAGCTGCGAAAGGAGCGGGATCACACGTGCACAGTTGCTTCGAGGTTGGGTGCGGTTTGTGGTGATAGACCAAGCAGCATAAAAAAAATCAGAAACACCAGCTCTTGAAGAACACAGAGGTTAACAAAGAAAGTCCGGCTGATACCGACAGGGAGAAACTTCGTGAAAAATCGCTCTTGTGTTTTCTCACGTTGAAACTCGTAAACGATGCAGCACGGCCAAATCGGGTTGCTACACGTTGCTACATGTTATGCAGCAGTAGTGTTTTGGCTGCGTCGTGTCAGATCGTCGTCGTCGTCGTCGTCGTCGTCGTCGTCGTCGTCGTCGTCGTCGTCGCAGAGCAACTTCACTACTAAATTTCTCAGGATCACCTTCGCGGGCAACTGGCCGACCAGCGCACGGCCCGTGCTCGAGAAGGTCAACCAAGCCTACGTCGTCTTCTTCCTTTTGTATATTACGATCATCGTGTTCGCTGCCATCAGGGTCATATCGGCCGTGTTTTTGAAAGACACGCTTGAGGCGGCTCGGAATGATGACGAGACGTTGGTCATCGAGAGACTGCGAAACAAGCAGAAATACGTGCAGAAGTTGCAGGAAGTTTTTCATGCAATCGGGGGCTCGGTGGACGGATTGATTACAGAGGAGCGGCTGGCATCGATTCTCGAAAGCCCGAAGGCGTTAGCCTATTTTCAAACGCTGGATCTTGACGTCACCGAGACTTCCGCACTTTTCAGTTGCGGCCTCATTTGTTGATGAGCTTGACATCTCAGAGTTGACATGTTGTCTGCTGCAGAATCTGGGCTGTATGCCCTGAGGCCTCTTGGACAATGGCGATGGAGAAACTTGGCTTAACATGCTTTGGACGAGGAATGGGGAGGTTACATAATGTGCTTGATGTGTTGGCCGCGCGGGTACACCTCGGGCACACCTCGAAGTGCTGTGGGCGACGAACGTGGCTGTGATGTCGCCACGTCAAAGTCTATGAGACAGACGGGGCAAGTAGGCCACATCATAGTCATATAGTCTACATACACACGGCTGCTGGTGAGTGCTGCCGTTGCCGCGATGCGCGCGCCAAGGAGATAACGCAAGAAGAGTTTATCGATGGCGTCCTGTTCCTTGGCCATCATGTGGCCAAAGCTGTCTTGACTCGAGGGACCGCGGTTTATCAGGGTCTGTCACCTAAGGCGATGCAAGGGCCCGGCTCAAGCCTTAAACAGAGACAAGAAAGCAGTAAACTCTGCACTGTGTTTCTGATTGTGCCCCATGTGTAAGTTCATTCGTTCATTCAGCTGTCTTGCCGCCCTGAGGCCCGTGCCATCGATCAAGTTGCTTTGCGAGCGGATTTGAAGCAATTGGATGCGAAGATATCTCAGACGCTTGCCGTGAGCACACATGGATG